GGATGAATTAGAATTGGTGGTAACATGTGGAACAGTACTTGGGGGAGGGTTAGCATCTCCCAGACCAAAGAGAAGCCTCTTGGCTTTCCTGCTTGAGTGGGTGCTTGACTGGGGGATAGCCAAATTTTGAAAAACTCTTATCTATTTTTCTCATCCATCAGGGTCCAGTTATTCTAGGAACCTGGTTGCAACAGCACAGAAAAATTATTTCTTTGTGACCATTTTAAGGAGGCTGTGAATTCATCATAGCTGTCTATGTTTACAGGTATTTGGCAAGTCATTATTCCTATGGTTTCTCTTTAGCTGTTCCAATCAGCCTTCATGAAGCTCCAACATGACCTCAGCTGCTATGTGAACAGATGGGGAGATTAATGTGTCTGACAACAGGACACTGTCAGTTATGCAGTAAGTCACTCAGGGCAGTTTGTTCTGCAACCAGAACCTGTATGCTTTGGTCATAGGATACAAAGTAGAAGTCTAATAAATAGCCTTTTCTCTATCATGTGAAATGAAATTTTCCTGGCTGCTTATGATTAAACAGCAGATGCCTATTTAGTTTGAGGCACACCGAGAAGTTGTTTGCCTGAAGCATCACTGTAGTTGTATGCTTGCCATCTGTAATGGCTATTGAAGTCTCTAACGCCTACTGAACAATGGTTGTGACTTGGTTGAACCAATGGTGGCAAAGAAACGTTTAGTGGATACATTGTCAATTTGTGTTTTGCATGGTGTTGCTATCCTAGAACATGGTGTTTTGATGCATCTTTGTCAAGCTAAGCAAGTTTTTTGTAACATGGGAATGTTAATTTTCATTATAGCTTGGTTAGGCAGTCTCATTTTCCAGGTGAAAAGCCTTCTTTGTTGAATCAACAGATATAGGTTTGAGCCTATCATTTACATTGTTTTCTGAATTGGTCAATCAGTGCTCAGTTGCCATGTTGATATCATTGTATGCAGTCCCTACGAAGGGAGGCTAAAGGGCCTGAACCTATTCAGCCTCCATGAGAGAAGGCTGAGAAGGGATCTCGTGGCCATTTACAAACTCACCAGGGAGGACCAGCAGGCATTTGTGGAGTCCCCCGGGCACCACCCAGGATTACTAGGTATAACAGCCACAAATTGTTAGAGAGAAGGTTCAGGCTGGACATCAGGAGATATTACTTTACAGTTAGGGCTGCCAGGCTCTGGAATGGGCTCCCAAGTGAGGTGGTACTCTCTCCTACCTTGGGGGTCTTCAAGAGGAGGCTGGACAGATATTTGGCTCAGGTGATATGACCCTGGCACCCGTTCCTGCCCGGGGCAGAGGGTTGGACTTGATCATCTGTCTAGGTCCCTTCTGACCCTAAGTACTATGATACTATGATGTAGTATTTAACAGGTGAGGGGGGCGGTAATATGGCAGTTTTCATTTTCTATCCAACTTTCAGTCCATACATTCTTAATCCATCAAGAAACATAATATTTATTTTAAATGTGAGAGTGTTCTTCTGGACACTGTGTATGACATGGGTGTGGCAGTGAACTGAAAAGTCTACACGATATATGCTTACATGTGCTACTTCTGAACTTGCATGTTTCCTCTCAACCACTGTCTCCTTTTCAAAACCTTTTCTTCTACTCCAAGCCATGCTCTACCCCTTCATAGCTCTGGCTCCTCCCCGCCCCACACCTCCTAACTTCTGAAAGTGTGTTTTTTCCTGAGAGCTCCTTTAGCTGCTATTCAAAGCCAAAGTCCATATTGCACTAGGGTGAAGAGAGACTAGAATGAGGCAGAACCCATCTCCCCAGGAAGATTCTAACCAGTTAACAAGGACTTTGAGAGGGAATGCTTCAATGGCAACTCTGTCACGTTTGAGCTCCCACTCAGTCCTATCCACACCCCACTCTTGTGAAAGTTGGGGCTGTCAGCAGAAGAGCTGAGTAAAGCTGGTGCAGGGTGCCCATCAACTGAAACTTTCTCTAAGGAACCTAGTCCTTCTTATTGTCCCCACTAAGGTACTAGATTAAATGCAAAATGAGGATGGAGTAATATGGGAATTCCTGCATTGGCACTCTTCCCTAATTTACCAGTCCCTCTAGACCCTTAATAATTTCTTAGTTTTGTCTGAGTTCCATCAAGAATTTTTGTAAGTAAAAAGAAAAGGAAAAAAAAAAAAAGAAAAGGAAAAAAAGAAAAAATTACAAAGCTAATAAATTACTCTAAGAATAAGCTCACTAGTGTTACACAGAAAAGAACTATATTACTGAATAGCCAAGCCAAAGGCACAATGTATTTCTGTTGGCTGAAAGATTGCATTACAAGTGCTTTTCCAATTTGTTGTTTTACTAGCAACACTGGATCTTATTAAACATTGCTGCTTTCCAAGTACTACATGTCCCTACCAATGAGTAACTGTTTCATTTATTTTTCTCCACATGTAGATTTCCAGGTTATTGACTTTTTGATGTTTCTAGCCTCTCTAGATTCCTGTGTTCTGTTTACACCTGACCTACTTGTTGGTTGCAATGCTTCCCAATTTGCTGAAGTGTCATTTGTGATTTTAATTAATGTGATGCCTATGAAATCATCCAGAATAGTAGTAGAGATCCTGAATAGGGCTAAAACTAAGACCAATGCTTGCAAATCCTGCCTGGCCAACTAACTATAACTCAATAAACTGCACTGGGGCACCAGTCCTAGTTGCTGAGTTGGGGTGGCCCAAAAAGAACAGCCACTGCACTGGCACTGCCAACAGCGCAGCCATTTATGCAATCCTGTGGATTGTCATGGCCCAGGGTGCAACAGGATGCCTCTTATATTTTTTCTTATATCTAACTTAAATCCCCTTTACCGGAATTTAAGCCAATTACTTCTCATACCAACTTCCATGGGCACAGGGAACAACTGATTGTCTCCCTTTTTAACAGCCATGAACTTGACTAACCTCCCCCAACCATCTATCTTATTTTTCATCATCTCAACCTTTTTATAGGTCATGTTTTCTAAACTTCTTTTTCTGAACATTCCCCAATTAGTTTACATTTCTTTTAACGGGTATGGATGCAGTGGCTATATTGCTTTTCTTTTAAGCAATAAAATACTTATAAAACACTGATGAACATTTTTTAGCAATAATGTGAACGTAAATTTTCTGTGGAATATGCCAACGCTAGCAGCCATCATTTTTACAGCTGACTGGAATGGCTAAAATGAAGATTCATTTTCTTTTTTCCCCACTATTGAATTCAGCAACAACAAAAGTTGCTCTTTAGATGCAAAAAGACTATCTGATGCCATAGTCCCATGCTTCCACCAGACAAATATCTCAAGTCCTTATCAAAGACACAATGATGAACATAAAGTTGCTGAGCTCAGTTGCTTAAGAATAATTGCTATAAATGATATTCCAAAACTGCCCTTGGAGTAACATTGCATGCTTGAAAATAATGTCTCAATCTAATTAAGAATATGAATTTTGATCAGAAAGGTTGTGGACTTCTGCCTTCCCACAAAGTCTTTAAATGAAATTCTGCTGCACTTTTCTGTCATTGCTGTTTTTCCTTGAGATTCTTTGCTATTGCAGCTTGATCATGGAATAGATTTTTAAAACAGGAAGAATTATAGTTTGAATGATTCAACAATAGACCTCAAACTTCTCTTTGTTAGACATGCACATAGGCAAAAAGTTTTTAACAGATCTTTTTACATCAAATAAATGATTACCCCTATCCTTGAATGTTTTATTAATTTTGGCCCAACTCCATGTCTTTCAGGCATTTTACATAATAAATAGTTGACCTGAGAATCCACTCAAATTAGCACCTATTTGAGAAAATGGACCAGCATAGAATGATTATGCTGCCACAACCATGATGCTATAAGTCCCCAAGTGAACACTATTTTAGAATAGAAGTGGCTATATTCTAGTATAATTACTCCACTTCCAAAGCAGAGCAATTATACAAGAATAAAGCCACTTTTATTCCAGAACAGATTGTCCACATGGGGAGCTCTATATACATAGCTATAGCAGAATAATTATTCTATTCTAGTTATGCCAGTCAATTTTCCTCTGTAAGCAAATCCTTAACATAAAGAGAAAAATCCTGCCTCTCTCATGAAAGTCTAATCATTAAGCTCAGATCCTGGTCCCATAAGTGAAACCAGTGTTGATGGGCTTTGCTAGTAAATGAAGGGAGGACTTGGGGAGGATGAAATCTTACTCAACCAACCAGTAAGTCTGACATGCCCAAGGACAGTGTGCACACTTAAAGAATATAACAGAGCATCCCAGAATCTTTTGATAGGGAGACTCTGCTAGAAGTGGTAACATTTTTCAAACACTACAGAATATTATAAGTAGATAGCAGACTGTGGTAGGATGGATTGTGGTAGCTATTAGCAGTCACAAGAAAAAGGGGAAGACATTGCATGCTGTTTTGTACTCTTTCCAGGTTACTTTGCTGTCCAGTAGATCTGTATTACATAGAGATCTTCTCTTACACCCATGTTCCTTATGCTCCTTTCATGAATACCAGGGTGTAGTTATTGTGCATGAACCCTCCACCTGATCCTTTTACAATATGGAAACTAAAGGGACCAGGCTAGGATCTCAGTTTATACTTCAATAGGTCCTATGATAGAAATGGAGTGACTCCGTATTTATATGACTACCACTGTAATCAAAACCAGGTGAGAAAAATCAAGGGCCAAAAAGAAGCTCTGATTTTTAATTCTTGCTAACATGATGTGTCTTGATGACATTAACATTGATGACCACCTTTTAGTATTTCAGATGTAGTATTATGACACTATGGGGCATTATGCAATAGTAGACACATTTTAGTGCCAAACACCTACAAAGAGAGTCATTCTTCCTTAAAGTGCAGAGACACTCTGCAAAAGGCTATTTCAGCCCACTGACCTTATTTTACTATATTCTCAAAGCATTTGAAAATGCATGAGTATTACAACAGTCAGTCAAGGACTCAGGAATGAGAAGAGCTGGCTTGCCACTTACCCCGATCTGTATCATATAGGAAGACAAAACGGTTCCATTCATAATGATCCAGCAAACTTAAGAGAGCTCCCCGTAAAGACGGTCGTAGTTGCAGCACAAACTGGCTCTCGCCTTCTGTGGGAAAGCTTGGTGTGATGAGGGAGATGTGCAAGGCGCTGCAGAAGGAGGTCAGAGTATGTACTGATCTTTTATCATACAGTCCAAAAATGGCAAAAACTCCTCTAGAGTACTGGGAACAAACTGAAAGAAAACAAAATAATTAAATTAGTAAAAGAGACTTTAAACATATATTTGTATTCCAAAGTGTCTATATTCCAATTTTATTTATTTGTTTCTATTTCACTTGTGTATTACAACTTGAATATTGATATAAATTTGGTTTGGGAACAAAAAATGGCATCAAACCTCTTGGTCCTTATTTGTTATAAAATAAGATAACAGAAATAAAATTTATCTCTGTTTTTGTACCAATTAAAATGGCGTATATGTTTTAAATAAGAAATTAGCATTTTGCAATCAAATGAAAAGTCCATCTGTATTCTCTTATGTTTAGGAACATATCTAATTTGTGGAGGTTGCCACCCCTATGTTGGGGGCAGAACCGGGGTCAGGCAGCCATTTTGTTGGCAGAGCGCAGCAGCCCCCCATGCCTCTGATTGGCCGGGGGGGTCTCAGTGGCTCTGCCCCTCAACACTGATTGGCTTCAGGGAGCTTCCTGTTACGTGGTTCCACTCCTTGCTGCTAACTGGCTGCAAGGGCTGTCCATCATGTAGCCCTGCCCCTGTCTGCCAATTGACTTGTGCGGGGTGGAGCCACATGACAGGTAGTCCTCACAGACAATCAGTGGCAAGAGGTGGTGTGGGGGATGGCACCCATATTGCTGGACCACATACCATATGGGTAGCCCCCTGCCACACACACACTACATTGAGTAAAAATGCTTCCCTTCCCTTGCAGCTATACTGATGGAGCAGAGCCATGAATGAACTCTCCCCTCTGCTGTGGTGCACTAAACAGTGCCATGTGCACAGTGCCAATTATGCAGGCCCTCCACTCCCTCCCCAGCTCCCTGGGCTGTGGACCATGCTGCAGGGAGGGGGGTGGGAGGGCAACAAGAGGAGGGAGGGGGAGCCTCAAGCATTCAGATGTTGATGCAGCCATACCAGTGGGGAGCAGCAGCCAAGCACGAGCCCCGGAGCTGCAAATTAACCCCCTGCAGGCCACATGCAGCCCAAAGGGCCATGAGCCGGACAGACCTGTGTATACCTATGCTATGCAACCATCAAAAGAAGACAAATTGCAATCAAAAATATTCTGAGTTCTGACCTATTTATGAGGTAACTTAGAGCCAAATGCAAGGCTCACAGAAGCCAATATAAAGAGTTTCATTGACTATAACAAACTTTGGATCCATGCACATGAAAAACAGGCCATGCAGCTGCTTTTGCTGGTATATCATGTTTCATTAGCAACTTATTACAGTCAAAATGAATAATTTCCTGCTCTTACATCTTAAAAACCCTAATGCATTATAACCTATACATAATTATTAACACTTACACTTCCAAAAATCACAGCAGTTAGAAAAGGCAACAATCAATTTTTTCATCAAATACATTTCCCTGCAGTATAGGTTCTTTGGGTAAATCCAATATCTTTTCTTAGACTAACTCAAACAGTTGGAAAAATTCTTCTGAGCAATTCTTCTTTCCCTGCAGTATATACTTGGGTATTTCTTCTGCACTGTACCTCCTATCCCCACACTGTTTCTTACATGCATGATGAAAAGGTAATTACTTAAAGTACCACCTCTTAGGCTAGGTTGTGAAACCTGTATTAACAGTCCCTGTATTTCTGATCTACAAACTGTCTGCATTGTATTAGAGCAGCAGTGCCTGTGTAGAGTCAGCAGGTACTTATTTGGACCACTCTGTGCCCATGTAGTTCTTATTATGTTTGGTGTGTATGAGCAAAAGATATAAGATGTGAATATTTGATATCTCACACTTCTGCAGTTTATTAATGCATTGCAGTCTATCATCATTGAACCATAGTTGTGAAAAGCTCTTTGAACCCAAGTTGCTCTATGTGGCATATTACACCCACAATATCAGGCTAATGAAGATGAAGTGTGTATATTGAGCACTTGGAAAAATATTATGCCTGACTCACCATTCTCTTGTACGCCATGTAGGGTTTTTCACCAGTGCAAAGTGGCTTAATTGTACTATCAAATAACCATGGTGGGATTTTACACTGATACTAACAACTTTACAAGAAATAAATGTCAAAATATGGAGTGTCCCATTCAGTGGAACTGAAATTCAAATTCCACTTCAGAAAAAAATGGATGTCAAATCCTAGCAATGACATGATATGACATGACCTAACAGGAATTTATATTCCCTTTCACTAAAAGTACCCCACGCCACTTATCCAAATCCTTTCTCATTTTCCAAAACAATTTACCATTCATCTACTACAAATCTAAGTTCAATAAAAACATGTGGCTATTAAAGCCTCGCAAAAATATTATACGAAAACTTATGTGGCCACAGATTTAGGACCCAGACTATGATGTTTACTAAATAATGCCCTTATACTTGCTTCTCCATAAGATGAAGTGCAAAATTGGAAGGCTTCACATTTCTTCTAATTCAATAGTTTACTAAAAAAAAACAACCCTTGAAAATACGTATTGAATTATGCTCATGTGTCACAACCTCAGACAGCTGGATACCGATAAATGCTACTGATTCAACTATATAATAATCATCATATACATGGGTTGTTTCACGTCATTGTATTCTGACTTACTAATAGCTTTACAAAAAAATGAAAATTTGAACTCGTTAGTTTTTAAATTTCAGTTAGATATATAACTTCTACCATATTATTTAGTGTCATTGGATCACATTGTACTTGGGCTATTGTACATTAGGCTTCTGATATTATTTGAGCTAAGAGATCTTTTGCTTTACACATACAAGGTATTTTTAAATTATTTGTTTTGAATATACTATGAAATACACTTAAACCTGCTTAATAGCTATGCTCATATGATTGCTGCATGAGTGAATACTGCCTCAAAAAAAAAAAAAAAAGATTATCCATGTAATGGCTAGAGGTGTGCAAAGCTTTGGTTTGCGATTTGATTCAGAGAAGATTTGGCCCAATTTGGAGGCTGAATCACCAAATCCAAATTGAACTGGGAGAAGAAAAAGAACCCCGAATCGATTTGGAGCCTCTGAATCGATTCAGAAAAGATTAAAAAAAGATTTGGAGATTTGGAAGGCAGTCTTTCAGGGGAACATAAACTGAGAAAAGGGAGGGTGAGCAGGCAGGGAAAGACTGACATCTTTGGTGGCTAGTGACTGTGATCTTTCCTTGAGTCCCCTTCCAATCACAGTACTCTTGGGGAGGGATGTAGAAACAGCATATAAGCTTCTGTCTGCAGGCTTTCTGTGCCTTTTGTGAGTGTTTCTGCCTGAGCAACAGCATCTGAAAGGTGCTGGACTGGCTTGGCTTCCTACCTAGTCAGTCTCCTGCTACTTTCTGTTCTTAAAAAGGATTGGGTATAGATTAGTAACTAGAGTCCCTCTACTTAGCCTTATCCAATCCATTTATATTTGTTCTTGTTCCCCCCCCCACACACTTTTTAAAAAGAAAGCTGTGTTTTCCTTGTCAGTGAAACCCCTGCACCTATCTCCTTGAAACTTGGCAGGCCTCATATGCTCAGAAGGGGCTACCATCCCTGAAATTTTTATTTGAATCAGCCAAAAAATGAAAAAGTTATGGGTATTTCAATGATTCCCCATTATAGTCTATGTCCAATCTCCAAATTGCTCTTAATCAGCGCCAAATCTTCTGAAGCCAATTTGGCTGAATTGATTCAGGACAGTGATCTGAATCTACAAATCATATCACTGTCCTCCAAATCAGCCAAATCCAAATTGAATACTTCCCTATTCACACAGGCCTAGTAATGGCCAAACCCAAATTTCTAAATCAGGGGTCTCAGCCAGGGTGCTGCAGTGCCCCAGGGTCCCATGAGTACCCACTCAGGCACACTGCGACGCAGGTGCTGAAGCCTGGTAAAATTTCCTGGTGCATATTCCTGCCGCAGTAAGGCTGTGATCAGCCTAAGACAGGCAAACTGAGCTGTAGGCCTTCCCAGTTTAACCCCCACTCCTACACTCCTGTTCCCGAAGGAGTGTAGGATAGGCTAGACAAGGGCAAGAGGCAGCCCCTGTCTGATTTAGGCTGATCAGAGCCCTAATACAGGAGCATATGCCACAGCCCGTCCAGGGCTAGCTGTACGGCAGCTACATGGTGAAATTTTACCAATAACAGCTAGTTACAAACCACTGAGGTAAGCTGAGCCAGCACCAACAGTGCTTCTCATTCAAAAAAGTGGTGGAGGGGTGCCCTGACTGAAAAGTTTGAGATGTACAAGATACTTCTCTTAACAGACACAAATTCTTGAAGAATGGAAGATACCCACATGGTAAACTAATTCTATTCCAGATTCAGTTTTGTCTGTATGATAGTGCAAGACAAGGAATCATAGAATTTTAGAAAATTAGGGTTGGAAGGGACCTCAGGAGGACATCTAGTTCAACCACGTGCTTAAAGCAAGACCATCCCAAACTAGAGCACCCCAGCCAATGCTCTGTCTAGCCAGGTCTTAAAGACTTCCAAGGATGGAGATTCCACTACCTCTCTGGGTCACCTGTTCCAGTGCTTTGCTACCCTTCTAGTGAGACAGTTTTTCCTAATATCTAACCCAGGGGTGGGCAAAATATGGCCTATAGGCTGGAAAGAGCCCACCAACTATTTGGCATGGGCAGGTGGAGTGTGTGGAAGGCATCCAGGAGCTCGAGCCAGAGCTCTTTGCTTTAAAACCAGGGCCACCTGGCTGAAGCTTGCTTCCTACCAGGAGTGATGCAG